TATTTGTTAATTGCAAAATAAAATCTGATTAAAGAAATCAACAAATACTTGGAAGGTCGAATGAGAAATCTTTTTTGAGGGTAAGTATTTGAAAAGGTTGAAAATCAAAGTACTGTGTCTCACAGAGACTAAATATTTAAGGATATGAGCAGAATCCCCCAGCTAGTCTGTGGCTGGTTCGTAGCGGCTGAGCTTTTATTGTCCAGAAGGTTCTAGAAAGGACACCAACATATCTTAACCCTGCTCTTAGGAGGCATTCTAATAACTCGCTTTTTCAAGGAATGCTCTGAAGGCTCAAACTACCTTATCTGCAGCGTGTGGCTGGCTTTGGGTTTGAGGCATTCCTCCTCTTTGCCTGGACTTAGCACATTGTTCAGTCTCAAAAACATATATACGTCTTTGGCTGCATTTATCCTTTTTTGAAAGTCCCACTTGACAACTCTCAAGTGCTTGGTTTCTCTATTATTTTCGTATTAAAACCTCTCAAATTGATTACATTCTTTGTCTCATCCAACCTGACTTTTCCCTACATATTACAATGAAATTGCTCTTATCAAGATCATTGGTGACATCCAGATGTTAAATCTAATAGACATTTTTCTAGATTTAATTTTTTTACTCTCTTATAGTCAATCAGTCAGCTCCTCTATTTTTGAATCACTGTATTCTTTTTTGACCTTTCTGCCTATGTTCTTACATTTTCTTCCTATCATTTTGAATCCTCCTCAGTCTTATGAATGGCTAAATAATTTTCTTTGATCCGAGCACTGTGTACGTTTCCCTACTGATCTCTCACAGAGACCATTATTTCTTCCATAGCACTTATAGATTCTTTTGACTAATTTTTTTTTTTAAAGATTTATTTATTTATTTATTTATACACGCACTGGGTACAGTCAGAAGTGCGGGAGGGTGAGAGAATTCACCAGAGCCAGAGCGGGGAGCAGAGCAGGCAGAAGGACCGAAGCACACTGCTGAGGGGAGCAGCGGGTGGCAGGAGAGGTCTGCGCGCCATGTGGGACCCTCCTCCGGTGGCCAGGCAGTAGCTGGGGATCAAACTGGCGCCGCAGAGGCCGCAGGGAGCCTCGCAACCCAGCACTCAACCGCTGCGCCACCGGGGAGGCCCTTGACTAATTTTTTAAGCTTATATAACATTTCTTTTCTTTTTTTTTTTTTTTCTTTTATATATATTTTACATCCTTCTTCCTTTTTGTACAATGTATGCTTTCTCCTCTCAGGTGTAGTCCCCATAAGATTCCTACCACCAATTCACTCGTGCACCATCACCATAGTCCCTTGTGTTCTTCCCTCCCCTTTTTGATCCCTCTACCCTCCTCCTGCCCTGAAGAATGTCTCTGATTTATAGTTGCCTGTTTATTTTGTATTTTTAATTTATATAATATTTCTTTTTCCCCACTAGAATATAAATTTCTTGTGACCAATTACTTTTTCTGTTTGCTTGCTGCATCTCTCTCTAGTATCTGGAAGAGTTGTATATGGCAGATACTCAATCTATATTTGTTAAATTAATTAACTAAAAAATAACATTTAATGACAGGTAAGACAGGAGCAGGCCTTTCCCCCCTTCATATCTATTAAAGTTGAGCTTCACATTTTTAGTATCCTTCAGTGCAGTGATTCTCTTTATGTTCTGCAGATCAGGAGCATTAATATTATCTAAGAACTTGTTAGGAATACTATTTGTTGCCCTCCAGGCCAGTTCTACTGAATCAAAACTTTTGCTCCAACAATTTGAGTTTTAACAAGCCCTCCAAGTTATTATAAAAATAAAAAATTTAAATACAAAGTAAAGTATAAATGCCCAGCTATTTTATGTAATGATTATATGATGATTTAAATTTCAAGTTATGATTCTGATACTCTGTACATTATCAGTATTGTCATGAAAATATTACATATGAATGAGAAAGCTAATTAGTTTTGCAAGAATTGCTACTTAATATTCATTCATACAATTCTTCACTAGTTATGACAACAGCTCAGTAAATGCTTTTGTTTTTTCTTATTAATATAGCATTTGAAACTAGCAGAAATGAGTGTCTTCTGAACTTAAATCACAGCAAGTGTTACAGTAGTGATGTTGAGTTATTTATTACATTTTTAATCTATTTTTTTCATTCTTAGGTAATAGATTAAATATCAGGTCACTTGAATTCATTTCTAAATTGTTGTTTTTTCTTTAGTGTCTTTCATAAAATGTCTTGTCACCTCTCTTGGTGTATCTTCTGTATTCAGTCTGATATGGAGCATTCAAGAAAAATCCACATCAAAATTTCAATAAATAGTGCATCCTGGCCAGCCAGAGATAATATGCCATAGGAAGGCAATATGTTGAATAGTCAAACTGAAGAAAGACAGGTGCAAGCAATATTAGGCATGAATCCAGATCATAGACAAAACCGTAACACCAGAGTAGTCCAGGAAGGACACATTGCTGCAGCCATCCCAAACACCATCCATTCTTGCTACAGTGGATTCAGATTATACCTAGAGGTGGATAATAATTCCTAATTTGTGCGTGACTCACTTAACATAGACTAGATAATACAGCCCTTTCTCTAAATACAACTCTCCCTAGTTCCCTCTTAATTTAGTTTCAATCTAATATTTTTCTTCAAGAGTAACTACACAGTTGAATATGCCACTCCCTCCTATTTATTATAGTTCAATTTTCTATTTTTGTCTTTTGTACATTTAAGGCAACTTCTAATTATCTCTAATTTCTTACTTTTGGTGGTCTATTCATGTGTTATATAGCTCTTATGACAATTGGGGTTAAGTTTGTTTTGTTCCTTTTGGTCTAGGTACAGATTAAATGCTCAGTAAATATTTATTAAAAGAATGTGTACAGAGTAGCCTGAAAGCAGTAACAGTTTTAAGAATTATAGTATAAGACATTACTATATTCTACCTTCATAATAAATCTTGCAGTGTGACATTTTCAAAATATTTTATCTCTTAATTTACCATTTATCATACCATTACTTGATTTTAATACAGTTGACTAGCTTATTGGTGGGAGGATATTCAAAATCTGGGTAAAATACCAAACATACAATTTAGAGATATAATGTATCTGGACTTGTGGCTAAAATACCTGAAGCTAAAGAAAAATAGAAAAATTGACATAATCATACCAGTGAATAAGCAAACAGGGACTATTTAAGGCCATGCTTAACCAAGGTATATTCTGAACCATAATGGGATGCAAACAGCACTAATTTACTGAATTCAGTAAATAGTAAACTATCAGTAAATAGTAAACTATCAAAATTCAGTAAATAGTAAACTATCGTTTACATGGAACTTTATCATCCAATCAGCTGTGAAGACACTTCTATCAGCAAGTATGCACATATCTGTATATTTTCATTCATTACCCGATACATAAGCAGAACAATGGAAAGATTTCTGCTACAGAAATAATATGACACATTATTTTCATAACAGTCTGTGGTAGTCGCTAAAGAACAAACAAAAGGAACGGACCAACAACTATCAAATGTGCATGAAATTGCTTGAGAATTTAGGTGTTTTAGGAATATACAGTCCAGAAATAGCTGCTTTCAATCTGATATGCTAAAAATTGAGTAATTTTCATAAACATATGTTTCAAAAAATTTTAGGACAATAATGTGCAAGCAGTAACTCATCATGTGTTCATTATACAATGTGAAAGACAAGTTAATCTGAGGTATCAGAATTAAACAGTCGTTATTTCTAGTACATCAGAAAAAACTTTGTTTTTGCTGTTGGTGCTAGTTTTTGTTTTTTGTTTTTTTTGTGTTAATGTAATTTCTTCAGTATTGGAAGAAATTTAGATCATTTAGACATGGAAAAGAACCTTAGTGATTACCTGTGCATGACTAGTTGTAACACCAGGCAAGACTCCAACAAATGGTTTAACTCTTATCTTCTTACCTTTATGGAACAATGAGAGGATATTATGGTTTGCCTCTATGACCCAATGCAGTGTTTAAAAGTCTCCTGTTTCCATTGTGAGTGTACATTTGTCAGAAAAGATCAGAAACACTTCAATTTCTAATAAAATTGCACCCTTCCACCACCACCCAGAATTACCAATTTTCACCCCAGCATGTGTATGTACAGAAGGCAAGTCTTTTCCTCAGTCCTACAGGGCATGCTTAAGTTATGGGGATAGTCATACTCAAGTGACATTCTCCTGTTCGCTACTCATTTTTCAGCTCATGAATCATCAACCAGAGGGAGATGTGAAAATCAAAGGTTTCTTTTTACTGCCATTATTTTCCACACTGACTATATTAATAGATTATAGATTATAATCTATTATTAATAGGTTATAGATTATAATCTATTAATAATAGATTATAGGGCTATATTGATAGATTTTATGTATTTATGATGCATTCATTTGCTTTACTGTTTGTTTTTTTTTTTAAAGATTTATTTATACAAGAGCCAGGGTACAGGCCAGATATGCAGGAGGGTGAGAGGATTCACCAGAGACAGAGCGGGGAACAGAATGGGCAGACTGACAAAATTCACTGCTGAGGGGAGCAGTGGGTGAGAGGAGAGGTCTGCTCGCCATGTGGTTTGCTCCTAGGCCAGCGGGGATCGAACTGGCACTGCAGAGGCTGCAGACAGCTTCACAGCCTGTGCTCAACCGCCTGCGCCACCAGGGAGGCCCTGTTTGCTTTACTGAGGACTAATTATGTAAATGAGATCTGCCCAAAAGATAGAGTGATTTAAATCCCATGGGGTGTTTCTTTGATAGAGTAGCAACTTCCATGATAGTAGCAACTTCCAAATGTGTGGTAGTAAGTATACCCAACTACTTCTGAGAATGAAGTTTCATACATGAATTACAACTCATCATGCTTCAAAGGCTAAGCCAACTAGTACATATTAAAAATGTAATCACATTGGAAAAAGAATGAAATAAACTGATATAAATAAGCTAGTATATGTCTTCTTATTTTTTTCTTCTTCTTCTAAAGCCGAACAACAACTTACCCTTACACGGAGACGCAAATGTACAGCCAAAACACTGGAGGGAATTACTTTGATACTCAAGGGAGTTCTGCACAGGTGACAACCGTGGTCTCATCCCACAGTATGGTGGGCACTGGTGGAATTCAGATGGGCGTCACCGGAGGACAGCTCATCAGCAGCTCTGGAGGAACCTATCTGATCGGCAATTCAATGGAGAATTCTGGTCACTCAGTGACACATACCACTCGAGCCTCCCCTGCAACAGTAAGTATTTGAGTTTTTATTTGTTTAAATTCTTGGTAGCTTCTTCTGTACATTTTCCATTATAGAGGGACAGAACAGAATGGACTGGGCTGAGACACAAAATGTGTTGAACAGTTTTAGAATTGTAGTAGTATCCAGAATGTAATATGTAGTAGTATGCAGAATGCTATTTACGTGTGCCCCAAATTAAGTGAAATAGAGTTTTAATAATAATGGAAAGTACAACATGTGGTTCTTATTCATTAATGCTGATTTTTATAAGCTTTTTTTTTTCAGTGATATCCAGTAAAATACATTTTTACTGAAGGTACTTAACTTTTATATTATGTTGTTTTATACTGGCTTTTTCTTAAATAAAAATTAAGAAATAATCTAGAGAGTAAAGTATAAGTTAGTTTGGAATTTTAATGCCTTTATCCAGGAATATTTAACCTAGTTCATTGCCAGAGAAGTTAATTTATATAGACAACAACCCCCAGGACTTAGAGTTTGTTTGGCCATATTACTATGCCACCTGTACTATTATCCATTTAAAGTCTAATCATATGCTTAAGTAGCAAGCTTACATAGTAGGCTTAAATAGTAAAATTAAAAATGTTTAACCATGTGCCTAGATAATGTTACTTTGCATTCTATCAGAGAGGTACTTTGAGAAGCAATGACGTAGGTGATTTATGTTGGTTGATCATAGCTACGATCAAATTATATGTTAGGAACACATCTACATATGTGCGTTTTCAAGTGTTTAAAATTTAACAAATATATTTATTTTGACAGAATATAGTTTAGTGTGTTGAAATGATGTCATAACAGTAGTCATAGAAAGCTGCTGAATTTCTTATCACCAAGCTCTATAACCTGATCTTTTCATTTTCACCTCAACTAAGCATATTAGTGAGAATAATAATTTAGAACCATCTAGCTAATGAGCAATGGAATCGATTTTGTAGATGTTTTATATAAAATGGGGCTAGGGACTTGAACTAAGTGCATGCACACCATTTTCGTTGCCTTACTACATAGATTTTTCTTCTAATTAAACAGGGATAGAAACAAATTTGGAAGAAAATTAGAGCCTTTGAATTTCTCATTTTATGGACTTTCTTTAAGATATACTTTGTACTTAATAGGTACTGTGTATATATTATGTTTGTAATGATTACTTGTGCTCATATTTTTATTATTTAGTACCCTTTTCCTAATCAATTTTTAGAATCCCTTATTTTTTTTAAACATTTATTTATTTATACATACAAGAACCCAGGTACAGGCCAGATGTGCGGGAGGGTGAGAGATTCACCAGAGACAAAGAGGGGAAAAGAACAGGCAGACTGACTGAAATACACTGCTAAGGGGAGCAGCAGGCGAGACAGTAGAGGTCTGCCACGCCATGTGGGTATCTCCCCGGCTGGCCAGGATGGAACCCGCGCTGCAGAGGCTGCGGACAGCTTCACAGTGCTGCGTTCAATGGCCTGCGCCATCAGGGAGGCCCCTAGAATCCTTTATTTTTAATTCACTATATTATCCTAATATCAGAGGAGATGACTGACCTTTCTGAAAAAAAAAATACTATAATTTTTTTTCTTACGTTTTTGAAGCATTTATTTCGTATATTTGTCTCTGGCTCTTCAAAACACTAACTACAGCATTCTAAACCTTATCGTTATTAACAGTGTATTTATATTTATGTAGATTAGAAGCTAAATTATAATCTCTCTGGACCTCAGTTCCTCTACCAATAAAATAAGGGTTTAGTTAGACCAAAATTAATTTCCCACTTTCCCCCCAACTTTAAAATCTTAAATATTTACAGAGGAATTATAAAATGTTTTAGAAGTTTACATAACTATATCTTTGCTATCAAAGGAAAAGAGGAGGAAAAGGCAGCAATACTTTAGAGCCCTCCTGATTGAGGTTATCCAAAAAGTCATTTTTTTTAAAGATTTATTTTTTCATTATTTTTAATTTATTTATACAAGCACTGGGTACAGTCAGAAGCGCGGGAGGGTGAGAGAATTCACCAGAGCCAGAGAGGGGAGCAGAGCAGGCAGAAGGACCAAAGCACACTGCTGAGGGGAGCAGCAGGTGGCAGGAGAGGTCTGCACGCCATGTGGGACCCTCCTCCGGTGGCAGGAGAGCAGCTGGGGATCGAACCGGCGCTGTAGAGGCTGCGGGCAGCTTCACAACCCAGCGCTCAACCACTGTGCCACCGGAGAGGCCCAAAAAGTCATTTTTAGTACAAAGGAAAATACCACTTATCAAGGCCTTAGAAAAAAAGAGAAATGAGAAGAATATGTCCTTTCCTACTTTTATTTCTTCTACCTTCTCTCATGCTGGCTTTACCATTCCTCTGACTCCCCAGCCCTGTCCTATTCACCTTCTCTCAGCATTCCTGTTTGCCTTCACACTGATTTCTTGGTTACCTGTCAAGCAGCTTCATCAACTGGATATGTGCTTACTAAGTTTACTTGTTCTATTAGTAATGTAACTAAACTGATTATTCCAGGTCATGTAAACACAATTGTAAACATACTTGGTGAATTATGTAATTTTTTTGGTCTGTTTTGGGTTAGGAATAGAATTTGTTTTCCATATAGAATATGAAAAGTGGCGTTGGTCCTTAAGTTATCCATTATACAAATTTGATAAATGATTTTTATTTATTAGCTAGTAAATTAAAGTAACATTTAATATAACTGAGTTATAGCCACTGAGAATAGTGTAAAACTATTTTAAAAACAAGCCAATTAATAGTATTCATTGTATATATTAATTTGCACTTTTTAAAAAGTATTAATAATTAAGGTTCTATTTTAAGATTTTTGTTTTCCTTTTTATAAGAAAATTCCCTTTTTAGCAAAAGGTGTCTAAAAGTAGGAATGGAAAAATCATAAGGTGTCTTCTTCATTGCATATATGATAGTGGTGTATTATATAAATATACATCTGCTATTGTGTTACCTTGCATTTATTACCAAAAGTTATATTTGATTTAGATGCCTCTCTTCATTATGCTAAAAATCTTTACGTGCTTCATTTACAGTGAGGTGATTCACTTTCCAATTTCGCAAGTTACTATATTAACATTAACAAAGTGTGCCATGACATCTATTTAGGTTTTTGACCGTCCTCCTCTTGCCAGATGTGTTAGGAAATTGCTAGCTTTTGGTTGTTTAGTCTCCTAGAAATCAAGATTTTTTTGTTAAGTGCCAGGTCATTATTTTAGTATATGTGCTGCCGAAGCAAACACTAAGTGCCAGGTCATTAAAGGGAATTTGCCTGATTTCTTTTCTTGCTTGTTGTAGAAACATACAAAGAATGTATAGAAATATAATCTTTAACAAATGAGTAGTCAAGCTTCAAACTGTTTCTTTATACTTATAGAGCCAGACTGTGCAATATAAGTTAAGTTTTGTAGCTGTTCTTTAGTATTCCACTTATCACCTACAGCATCTATGTGCAACCAATTGTGTTGGAGTAGCCTCTGGAGTAGTATGACCCAAAAAATTAGGCCATAATTCCTGACCAGAAAATAGTCAAGTGGGTTGTTCCTTAACAGCTTATGATAGATGGTCAGTTAATTAATTTGATGGGAAACTGGTTAAGTGGAGTACTTAGAGACAACACAAACCTAATACCTTATCTCAGTTCCTTAATATGCAGCAAGGTTTCCAACTCCTGTTTTCAGGCTAGATTAGTCTTTGACATTCCTTATTTTTCTCATTTGACCTGTGTCAATTCAAAAATACTTTATTTAAATTAATTAGAAATAAATTCCTGCCACAAAAAAGTTTACACTAATGTGCAAATTTTACAAGACACAACAGAGAAAAAGACAATTTGAGGTTGAGGTCACTATTAAGAAATGATTAGCACTTGAAATATTTTCTTCCCTAGTTGAATATTCAAAATAAAATCACCTTATTCTTACTAAATGACTCTGAATCATTAATGGAGAACTTTAATTTTAGCATATTATTTACTTTACTTTTACAAATTTAAACAAGATATTTTACATATACATTTTTAGTATTTTGTTTTTAACTTATGCATTGTAAAAATTTGCAATTTTCAAGGTATCTACAAACCCCAGAATTTTTCAAGATTTTGACAGTAACACCTTAAATTTTATATCATTTAACATACTGTGTTATAAGCTACTAGTATTCAGATTTTGTCTAAATGCTATTTCTTCATTTATTTACTATGTTCTTTGATTTGGTAAATGGAGCCCGTGTATACACACATGTATGTATGTATACATATATGTATACACATGTGTTTAAAGGCATTTCCTGCTGATAGTATTAAATGTGAATTTTCTAAAAGGTTTGCTGCTTGAGTAAATATTTGCATTTCATTAAACTAATGTTAGAGAACTGTTTATTTTTAATATTTCAGTAGCACCCATCATTAAGGTAGAAGTGTTGGCTATTGTCATAACTCTAAACTCATTATACTTTGATCTTTCATCTGAATACATCAACATAGTGTTTCTTTGTACATCTTTGTCTCTTTAAATCTCTAATTTATTTTTTTCATTATTTTTCTGTGTAACCATAACATTTGTAGAGTTTTGGAACTTAAACATAATTTGCAGTTGCGGATCAAAAATATGTGATTGTAGTTAGTGATATTTTTGTGCTCATTAAAGCATAGTTTATACCAGACTATATCATAATTAGCAATTTGCTTTAAGAAGCTTTATTTACTCACTCCTCCATACAGTAACATTTGTATTCTTATAATTACATGGTTATTTATGGAGTTTTTTTTTTCTACTTGATAACTTAGATTATGTTAATCATTTTTGAGCCTGTGATGTGAAAGTTAATTTTTACACCTTTTATATATACATTTAGTAATTATATATGTTAAATAGCTCTTGCTAAAATTAGATCACACCAAGGGGCAAAAGGAAAATGTGTTTAAAATAATATTGTACATATCTCTACCTCTTTTGATTAATGTAAAATATTATAATTCCTTTTAATTTGGAGA